AGTGACACATGCTACAATGGGGCTAGATACAGAGGTCTGTGCGCTCCCAGTGGACGGAACTAAGCCAGTTGGAGGAGGGCTAGTTTCTGGAAAGACTCTCTGGAGAAAGTGTAACCTGACTCCAGCTCTGAAGGAAGCATAGGAAGTGAGGCAGAGTTGGATGTGAATGTGTGTATATGATGGGTGCAGGGCAGAGTGGGGGCAGGCTGGAGGAGAGCTGTTTCATGCAGAGGTCATAGGGTGTCCAAACGATCTGAAGCAAGACGTTGCAGCTCCATCAGGGAATGAAGAGCCCAAGTTTTTCCCTTATTTGGTTAGTTAGATTTTCTTTTTTTCACAATAGAATGAAGAGAAGTGCTAAGAGATGTGACTAGAGATGTGAGCCCCTGTCTGATCATGGAGTAGAAAGGAGCTTCAATTTGTAGGCCCTTGAAGGAAGCTCAGCCAGGGAGTAATATAATCATAATTGTGCTTTAGGAAAAAACCCACTCTGGTTGCACCACGGACACCAGCTTGGAAGGGCCTGGATTCCAATGGAGAGAGTTATGGGAGTCATCGGTGACCTGCTGCTGAGGAGCAGAGCAGCCTTGGTGATGCCCCCAGTGCAGCTCCCCCTCAGGTCCTGGAGTAAGGTGGCTGGTGGCTTTTGTGTTCAGTGCCCTCCCTCCTAGTTCTCTTTTGCATGTGTCCAGTGCCATCCTGCCACCTGTGGCTGCTTGCCAAGCCCAGCACCTTTCCCAACACAGCAGCCCCAACAGATCAACACAACTATTCATTCTCCCCCTTCTGTCTTTCATTTAATTCTAGCTTTCTGCTATTACACAGTAAGAAATGAAAAGTAATTACCATAACGGTGCTAACAAGTAATTATGAAATACAATTCAGATAATAATACCGTGGTAATATCCAGCATCCCTCAAACCCCTCTACACACCTACCGTCTGTTCAGTTTAAAGGTTAAGACTGTAGGTTATACAATAAGTAAAACAGAATAAATATTTCAATGGCAAATTTTTAGCAAGAATGAGACAATTTGTGTAACGTTTAATGTTTAAAAGCTAATGTAGTATTTCTAAATCTTAATTTTAAAATATCAGAAGTGATTGCACCATACCTTTGAAGCATATTTATAATGTTGATATTTAAATTCCTCATTAAATTTCAAAAATGGCCCCCATTTTCACTCCTGCCTATATCCACACCCTTGTCACATAACTTTGTAGTGCTTTACCACTTTGACTTTGGACTTAACCATGTAACTCTATTTGGCCAATGGGATATTAGCAAATTGGAAGCAACTAAAGACTTGAAAAGAGATTGCCCATTCGGGCTTCCTCTGTCTTGTACACCTGACTTTGCAATGAGAACATACTTAGACCAGCCTGCTGGAGGATGAGAGACATGTGAAGCAGAGCCTAATCACCACAGTTGTTACAGCTGAAGCCGGCCTAGATCAGCCTATGCTAGCCCCCAGACACATGAGGAAACCAAGCCAAGATCAAGAGAGCCATCTAGTCAACTCCTGTCTTCCTCCAGTCTCAGGAACAATATTGCTTATTGTTGAACACCATTGAGATTTTGCAGTTGGTACATAGTATTATGGAGGCAATAGATAACCGATACAGAGAGAAGAGAAAATTCCCTCTGGCATGGTTAGTCAAAATTTGTTGTTTTTTGAAAACTATTGCTTATTTAGAAAAGCTTCTTCCAGCTTCATAACTCATTATTGATAACTCCATTATTTGATAAGTTGATAATTGATCTTGGTAATATAACTTTTTAAGATTGTTTTCAAATGTGGGAAAATCCCTATCAAGTTTCTTTGATACTTGTCACAGATGTAATCGCTGTTTGTATTAATATTGCTACTATCGGTTTATGTCCTACAAACACAGGCATTCTGGAAAGATCTATTTCCCATGATTTTTTAAATCAAAATAGGGCAAAAAGCATACGGCACTTTCATATTTGTGTTTGATTCATTACCGAAAATGTTCCTGACAGGAGATACCTTGTGTTTTGAATAGATCTCTACGGAATCTGAACTCTCTAATTAAAATTTTGTACATCTGGAGGCTGATCCGTTTGTGTAGTGGTTAAGTTCATGAGCTCCACTTAGGTGGCCTGAACTCCCTCAGGGCCAATCATCCTTACCAAAAAAAAAAAAAACCTTTATACATCTGATTGGAAGAATCTTATGCAAACTATCTTCTGGCTTTGTAAATTTCACATCTTGATTTTCCTCCTGTATCCATGTACTTCTGATACCTGACTCTGCAGGATATATTCATATTTTGCCATGACCTCTGGCCCTGCATCTGTGTCTCATAACACCTGATGAGTTGCCACATGGGGCAGCAAGAACATGCCTGGCAGCCATTTCTATGTGGGGACACCATGCAAAATTTAATCACATGTGACAAAGTGATTGTGAAACATGTTCATGTTTCTTTCTATACTCAAATGTAATTCCAACTAAATTTCCCTGTAGCTGGATCCCAAAAATGTCCATGGCCACTCTAAATACCATACAACGAGGCAAATTACAACAGAGGATGACAGACAGCAAAAATATCTTACTTCTGCAAAATTTTCAGCAAGATATGACTAAGTAAACCCATTGCTAGGGTCCACCTCCCAGGGCTTTGAAGGGAACCCTCTCAGGTAGACAGCCCTAAAGCTTAAGCTTCATTAGTTTCATGTTAAATCTGTCTCTGTAGGTTGATGCTACTAATATCTCTCCTTTATAGTTTAGTGAGATCACATAATTTGTTCCAGGCCACAGAACTAGCAAGGGACAAACTGAAACCAGATCCAAACTATCTAAATTCAGGGTGCAAGAATTTTAACCACCCTGGTATGCTGACTCTTGCTGCAGGAAAAGGTTTACCATGACCTACCCTCGAGTTAACGATAGTGAGGAAGAAACAAGTGGTGTTGGAAGAAAGCACTGGGTAAGTTGTGACTAATTGGATAAATTGATGAGGAAGACCTGGAGGTTCAGCTAGGACTGTCGTCTGCAGGCAGGGATTAAACATCTCCAACTATGGGGAGAGGAGAGAGACAGAGACCAGAGAGCCAGGAGGGCCTGGAAGTCAGGTGTACAAGATAATCGACCCCCGCGTGGGAGTCATGTTAGGTAGGGTTGAGTAGATGAAGAGGTTACAGACTTTAGTAATGGGGTGGTATTATAAGTCCTTAAACGTTTCATGGTGGTGAGTTAAATCTGTTATAAATTTGAAGTCTTCTGGAAAGAAGGAACTAATTTTGAGGTTGCAAAGAATAAAACTGAGGAGAAGATGGGAAGAAAAAGTTCAAGTAAAGTAATAAAGTCCTATCAGGACAACAAGAAAGAAATTCATGGCCTCTTCTTCAAACCTTCCGCTATTTGAATGCTGTGGAGTCCCTTTCACAGTTCTTCATGAATGCAGAGCAGACCTCAGGGCTTCATCAAAGGACATTCCGAACCTTATAGTTATTTTTGACTTCTGAATACTTCTTAGGTTTTCTTATTTTCAATGACAGTATCTCCAAATGAGTTTATTGCACAGCCTTCTAGTAACATTCTGGATAAGCTCAGAAACAGAGAGAGCACTTTATTTCTACTAGGAAACCACAGAAGTGTGTTTGTTTACATCTGTGATACTGTGGTGGTGCCTCACTCCCGCTTGTATCACAAACTGATTTCACAATGTGCAAGGATTTAGGCGTAAGTTAGTTAGGATCTCCAAAATCGACACCACCATGACTTCTCTTCCCGAGTTCACGGTTGCACGTTCATGATTCTTGACATGAGGTCTAAACCAGATAAACTCTTTCTAAGGAGACAAGGGCTAAGGCACTCTAATTCTACAATGACAAATGGACTGTGGACTTGAATCTTTTGAAATACTTTGCAGTGAAGAGCTGTAATAACCTAGAGATACAGATTGACACGGAAAGGTTTATTTTTCTTAGCCAAATAATGAAAATAGAGCCCAGTTTTTTCTCCACTTGACTTTCTATTTAGACTGAAGCACTTTGTCCTCATCATTTCCTGGGCAAAAGAGACCCCAGGCAAGAAAGAAATGGAATACTAATGGCTGTACAAATTACCCCATCAGGCCCCTGGCCCACTTATCGATCTAATGGGTTCCATCTTTTGAAGTCATAGAGTGTGGAGGCCAAAGCTTTCACTTCTGAAATGTCAAGAAAATCATAACACGAATGACACCAAAAGAAACTCGTGGCATTCTTGATATCTTGGGGGAGAATTTCAGCTTATACCTAAACTTTAAATGTATAGTTTTGCTTAAAACATAGAGCAATGAAATTGTCAATGATTTGAAAAGCCCAAATCATATGGCCTTTGAGGGGAAATGTTTTTTTAATAATTTTAATGCAATTTTGAGTGGTTCCACTACATAAAGAGGCCTAATTAATGCTGCTTTGAACTCCTGAAGGGAAAGGTGACCTTAGAGAGACTATTTTTTACTGTCTAACAAGAATAAAATAGACTCAATGTGATTCTTATTGAATTCCTTTTAAGGGGAAAAGGTTTCATCGTTTTCATGCAAAACTTGCTATTGCAAAATACCTATTTCAAATCACTTTGAAGTTTACAAAGTTTGTCCAGAAACATGAATTTCTTTTGTCAGTACCGTAAACCTATTTAGTAAGTAGGGCTCATGTTGTTGCTACAGTTTACATATGATGAAGCTGAGGATTTGTGGTGTCAAGTTCGCCTACAAGGGGCCACATAGCTAGTACGAGGCAGCCCAGACTTGAACCCCGGTTTCTGCCTTTGGGACCAGCAATCTTTTCACGACTTCAGCATCACACTTCCTTTGTACCCAGTATTAGCCTTGCCCCTGTTCCTGGACACGAAGTGGGGAAGATACTTATATGGTCCTCCACAGAGCTCCTTCCAGGGCGTCCAGGACCCAGGTAAATAATTTTTGTTGATCTCCTGTGTATATTAACATTTTGATTAAAAATGTATTATAGGATTCACAGACCCATGAGAGGTATGGTGTTTTATTGAGGACTTAGAACAGTGGGTAGAGAAGAGGTACAGATGTATTTGTTTACTGTCCAATCACTTCAATAAAGATTCTTTGTGGTGTCCAGGCATCATCTCTTCCTGTCTGGATCCAGGAACCATCTTTTCATGTTCTTTATTGACAAATGAGCAGTTTTTGGCTCATTTTTCATCTCTCTCACCACAAGCAAATGGTAGCAGTGTTCTTGTAACTCACAATGCCATGGATATTTAGAACCGGTTTATGTGGGGAAAATATAGCACTTCTTGCCTCTGCACTCGTCCCATACCAGTTATTTAATGCTGGTTACATCATTGCATTTGACGCTGTGTGATCAATCGTGCTGCCCAAGAAAGCTGGCTTCCCATGACTCTCAGAAAGTTTGTTTCTGTGCTTTGTTGAAGAAGCCTCATCTGTGCAGCAAAATGAGAACAATAATTTATATTATGGGGATGCTAAATTTACCATCCAGAACTTTGTAGCTTAAATATAGAACGACACATCTTACATTAAACTCCTAAGGCCATAATCATTGTCTTCCTAGAATGTTCTCTTTTGCAGTGTCACCTGTACCCTTGCCTTCCCCACACTGTTGCCAGCAAGAAAGACAGGCAAGGGGCTAGTAAGTGGAATGAGAAGGGCGGTCCCATTGTGCGAGGACTGCCCATCCGTATCAGCATGGTCCAAGACAGACCGGAGAGCACAACATCACAACACCAATCAGAGACAAGAGAGGACATGGAACGGAGGGGCCTGCTGGCACTGCAGTGCATTGCTCTTGAACACTGTCAGACAGATAAGTGCAGTCTGATCTGGGGCACTGACTAACATATGGCGTGGAGCCTGCCGAGGGGGTGGGGTGACTGCTCTGGGTGCCAACAGTGGTGGGACCACAAGCCAACGAGGCCTTCTGCCCTGCCCACCACTCTTGAGGTCTACAGATGTGAGATGGCACCTTGGTTGAAAACTAGACATGTGAGAGCCGTGCCACAGGCCACACATGCAACTCGAGACCAAAGATCAGCATTAAAACAGAGTCCTGAATTTATTGTGTGTCTCACCTGATTGAGAGTCACAAAGAGTCAATGTGTTACCACCATGCTGGTGGCCCAATTTCATGTGATCCCATAAGAGAAATACACTAGTCAGCAAAGTGATCCACTTGTCTGACTCCTGGAACTGGGGCCTGGCCAGGAGGACGGGGGACAATCCCACGACACAAGTCCCAGGGCTCTTCAGAGCATCTGATGCTCCCTTGTGTGCGGGATAGAGCAGAGCCCTGAAGGAGAGAAACAAAGGCCAGGCCCACGCAGGTCCTGAGCTGTGTTCAGAGCGCCCTGCCGGGACAGCTCTGGTCCCAGCATCAGCAGGGTTTTAGAAATTGTTGAGGAAGGCACTGCAAAGCACAAGGCCCCCCTGAAGGGCAGGGCCTAAGCAGGGGCACTGCTCGGCCAGGTCTTCCAATGTGCTAGTCCCTCCATCCACTGCTTCTTGGTACTTGTTCTGCTCAGCAAGACAATCAACAGATCCAAAATAAATGTTAAAAAGCCTCACTTGCTGTGCCAAATACCATCCATTTGCCCCTACAAATCCATTTCTACCACTTTTCACGAGCTTTCTGCCCCAGGAGACTGACTGTTAGAAACTACATCTTCAGGGTTTCTGCGCCCTCTGACTTCCATCTGGGTTTGACCAGTGGGATCCCTGGTCAGAGACTTGGAGAAAAAGTAGGTGAGTGAGATTAGGGAATTATTCTCCCAGCTCCTTCCTTCTGAGGTCACTTTGCATGTATCCCTCCACCGAGGCCACTGCTCCTCTCAGGCAGCCATCTCCACGCGAATCTCTCCCCTAGATCTGGTCACCAACCCCTTGTGGTACCAATTTGGCTGCCTCTAGCCCCAGGATACTGCACTGTCCCTAGAGGTGGCCTCAAGTATCTTTATAATTAACCCTTTTAGAATTAGCTTGTATTGATACATGTGCAAATGCAATGTTTTGTTAAAAGATACCTAAGTTAGAGAAAGAGAGAGTTGGCAGTTAGAGACGGCTCCTGGTTAGACGCCCGCTGCCACTGTGAGTTGCCTGCGAGCCTCAGGCATAAGGCTAACTTCATACAATGGGCTATCACGGCCCATGCTGTCAGTCTAAGATGAGTGAGCTGTTTGCCAGAGAGGACCCGGGAGTCCTCCAGCCGAACACAAGGACACGCCCCTCTGCCTGCTCCGGGGGCCCTCCATTTCTTGGTGGCACGCAGAAAGCATTACGGTTTGGGGTAGTGTTGCAGCCAATCATCATAGTTCCTCCAGCAGTAAAATAATGGAGTCAGATTAGGGGATCTCTGTGTCCAGCACGAGAGTCTGGGATTTGGCGAATGTTCCAGAAGTCAAGTGCCTCTCCCCAGGCCCGCCCCTAACATTTGCAGGGCCCTGGGCAAGATTACAAATGGAGGTCAACTTACTATGACTAAGTATTTAGAAGCTGCAAATAACAGCAACAAATAAAATGAGTTTTATATTTCTACCCCAGCGAATATGCATTCATCATAACAACCACAAAAAAATACACATAAAGCTGTAGTTTATTGGAAAAATATCAAAGATGTATGGATTTAATCTTGATTGCTCTATATGAGTATTATTTTGACAATATTTGGATGAGTAATAAAATCAAGACAACATACAAATTGTAAATAATTTTATATTAATTCCATTTTTTTGGCATTTCAGTAAAGCTGCTACTTATGTTCCTGTCATCAAAATTGCTTCATAACTTGTGTTCTATTGACAGGACCTAAATGATTAAAAAATAAATATAATTTTATTCAAATTGTACAAAATTTTAATATTTTGATATATATTAAACAAATATATCAATATAGTAAACTATGTTAATAATTATTATTAAATTAAATATTAATTATTAATATGATAATTATTAAACTATAATATAATGATTATATAATATTATAAAAATACATAATATATAAAAATATAAACTAATATAATAATTATTAAACTAATAAATTAAGATATTAAAATAATATATTCAACAAATATAAATTATAGTAAATGTAAAAAATCAAAAAATTAAAATTATTTTTCATAAATGTTTTGTTAATTTTCTCCTTGATATTTGCAACCATGAGGATTAAAATGCAAAATGAAATTAGTGAATCAAATATTCACATCAAAATATTTAAATCAGGCTGAAGTTTTATTTGGTTGTTTGAAAATATAATTAAGTTTCCTTATACCAAAAAACACAATTCTAGAATTCAAGGTTGCCATGTCAGCTTGTTGCCAATGTAAAATATCAGTATGAATTTCACATGATTATGAATTATTTAATACTGCAAAATGTTACTCACTGGCCGTGTGCCACTATTAAGAACATCAGGCTAATTTGTAAATAGTTCTAGAAGGAAAAACTAGAATGGGAAGAGTGGAAAGAAAACGGACACTCACCTCTGCCAAGAAACAATTCTTCAGACGCACAGTGTCTGGCACATGGTGGGGCATTATAAATTATAATAATTACTAGTAGTAATCATTACTAGTAGTCTTTGTACTAGTAATACTGTTTATTTTTTATTTTGTAGCTCTCTAGTAATTCCTTTGCTCTGCCTCACAGAATTATTTGGGGGCTAATTTAAATAAAAAGAGCCTATTCAATTTCTCCTATATTTTGACCAGATTAAGTTCTTAAAATCCAATTATGGGGCCAGCCTGGTGGGGTAGGCGTTGGGTTCGTCTGCTTCACTTCAGCAGCCCAGGGTTCGTGAGTTCAGATCCCAGGCACAGACCTACATGCCACTCATCAAGCCATGCTGTGTCAGCGTCCCATATACAAAGTGGAGGAAGATTGGCATATGTGTTAACTTCGGGACAATCTTCCTCAAGCAAAAAGAGGAAGATTGGCAACACATGTTAGCTCAGGGCCAATCTTCCTCACCTAAAAATCAAAGTAAAAAAATCCAATTACAGGATGAGAGGGTTAATTATTGTGCCTCAACAGCTGTCTTGATTTTACTTAGAAACATGAGATTTTTATTGTTAGAATCTAACCAATTCTATTTAGCAAAAAGTTGTCTTTGATTCCAATGTGTTTTGAGCCAAGTTGCCCTCAGAACCTAAGCACTGAATTTTGGCTTCTAATTTTAAGGAGAGAAATGTAACCAGAAAGCAAAAGTTCATACATGCATTCTTACTTTATGTTGTTCAATCCAAAGAAGGCTAGGAGTGACATGCACAGACCCTTAAGAAATCATCTGTGGGGGCCAACCCCGAGGCATAGTGGTTAAGTTTGGCATACTCCACTTCGACAGCCCAGGTTCTCAGATTCGGATCCTGGGCGCGGACCCATACCAGTCATCAGCCATTCTGTGGTGGCATCACACATACAAAATAGAGGGAGATGGGCACAGATGTTAGCTCAGGGACAATCTTCCTCAGGCAAAAAGAGGAAGACTGGCAACAGATATTAGATCAAGGAGAATCGTCCTCAACAAAAAAAAGGAAGGAAAGAAATCCTCTTTGCATGCAGTTGTCCTGTGTTAATTTTTGCTTCATTGCCATTTGCTCTTTTAACTTTCTCCACTGGTTTATCAAACAGAAATTGGCAGTGATCACATTTTCTATTTCTTTGATATTCAAAATGGATCTTTTAAAAAACGTGGATTGACTAACAGACCAAAAGGGACAGAGTTGATCAGAATTTTTTTTTAAGACAGCTGTTCATCAACAATTGCAAGAAGGTTTCTGTCACCCTGGTGCCTTTTGTAAATTTGGTTCTTTCTCTTCCAGGGAAGAAAACAGAATTATTAAAGTCCTATTAAAGTAGAAATGGCATCAGGAAATACTATCTTTTAATACTATATCAAAGACCACCTCCAACAAAATAAGTTAGCTTTAAACTGCCAGAAATATCACCTACCTTCCTCACATAGCAGCACCTTTTATGGTTAAGGTGGCACAATCTACAGATACAGAGATGACTATAAGAGTGTTGGGGTGATATCCTGCTTTTTCCAGCTGTTGGCCAATTCCTCTTTCCTCCCAAAGATGGAAAGAGGAAGCGAGAAGCTCCAAATATGTCTCTTTTCTCACTAGTGGAATAGTTTTATCTAGCTGAATTTCCTAAAATTTTTCAAAGACATTTTGGCCTTTGACAACAAAGGAAGGCCCACAGGCAGATAAAAAGAATCTGAATTTATTCCTGAGTGCAGATTCCCCGAGGCCTCTCTGCTTGCAGAAAATATTTCTAAACATCCAAACAAACGGACAAGTCTCTGAGAAATAGGGCAGTGATGAGTGTCCGAATAGCAGCAGGTCTAGTCGAGCATGGCTTACGAATATTATTTAGCATTTTTATCTTCAGTGGTCGGAATCTGAGAAGGCCTGATGTAAAATAAAATGAAGTTAAATATTGTTGGAACTGCCTGGCTTTCAGAGCTCTTTAAGTATCTTATTTTTCAGAAGAAAAAATAACACAAAGAGGTGGTGACCTGGCCGATGCCACAGTGTTGGACCTTGCGAAGGCAAAGATTGCAAGGACTTGGAGGAAATATGATGTGGTAGAAAGATCACGAGTGATGTGTTCAGGCAAACCCCGGCTCCAATTCCATTTTCCACTTCCAAGTTTATGTTGGAGAAGGCTCTTAACGTACCTAACCCCTGTTACCATTTTCACATTTTTCAGAGTGAGGCATAATACCTGTTTATGGATTAAATAAAATAGTGTACAAATGCCTAGCACACAGCAGAAGTATTGTGAACACAGGTTATCTTTTTTCTTTCCCCGATCAAGCATTCTCTGAACTACGTACACTTATAAGTGATCCCATGAAGGGTAGTGAATAAAGGGGGAATGTATACTGACATGTATTTTTTAAAATCTCTGACCTAGAAAGTTCTTACTTTCAAAGCAATAGGCGGCAGTGACTCATTACTATAAGCACTCAAAACGCAGGGGAAGGATGGGGGTGGGGGGCTCCTATTAAAGCAAAACATAGAACACAGACAATTAAAAAGACACACATACATGTTTTACACACACTTATTAAAGCATATTCATAGGTGTAACTAGATAAGAGAGTTCAGTCATAACCGATTCTACTCTCTTCTGACTCATAAGCAGCATTAAGTAACTTCCGGTACTTTCCTGAAATGAGTTCTGTTTCTGCCCACCCCAGCAGCCTTCAGCCTGAGAACCTGGCTCTACTTCCGAAGTTGAGTCACTGCTTTTATTTTAAAGGCTCTTTCTGCCAACAGGTTTCTCCATCCAATTTCAGAAAAGAAAGATTCACAAAATCAGAATGTCCCATTTGAGCAGTATCTTGTTTTCCTGGAGCAAGTTTAATGTCATCATACATTTCAAATTGACCTCAAAGAAATAAAGACGCGATTTTGAGAAGTCACATCCTCAAAGAAAATTAGTACAAAATCCAAACTAAAAGAAAAATACCAACGTTTCATCGCTTCTCGCAGTTGAATTCAACTGCAATTTCTGATGTGCAGAAGGAAGTGGTGATTCATCTCAGCACCTAATGGGCCCCCAAGTGCTAAATTTGTCTCGCTTTGCTTGATCACAGACTCCAAAGGGACCTGAGAGATGTCGATGAACAATGTGGAGACCTGAAATGCTTTTGATTCCCTTTAGTCTTCTCAATTAGAATATACAAGCTTTTATTAATTTAATGGACTGCAAATTGAAAGAAAAGATAGTTTTCTTAATTAAAAATAATTTATAAATTCATATAGAATTAAGCAATAGACATTATCACTTAGCATTCACACATGTGTATCCTGGAAGCATTAGAGTTAACACCCACAAAGCGTGCTTACCCAAGGTGCTTGATCGTGCTGGAAGGAAGGATGGGGCTGATGGAGATGCTTCCCCCTTGAGAGGCAGTTCATAAGGCTCCTAAGTAGGTCCTGCTGTGTGAAGCATCAGTTGACCGTAGCAGCAACCAACACATTCTTACACTGACTTTCCCTCCCTCCCTGACTGACTTCCTGTGTTACTTATCTATTGCTACGTAACAAATTACCTCAAAACTTAGTGACTTAAAGCAACAAATGTTTATTCTCATAGTTTCTGTGGTCAAGAAATCAGAAGCAGCTTCAGCTTGGTGGTTCTGGCTCAAGGTCTCTGATGAGGATGCAGTTCAAATGTCAGCCAGGGCTGCATTATTCAGAACGCTTGCCTGGGGCTGGAGCATCCACATCTAAACTTATTCATGTGGTGTGAGCAGGAGCACTCAGTTCCTCACGACGGGGACTGCTGCTCACCTCCTGGCAGCCGGGTTTCCCCAGAGTGAGTAAGCCAAGAGCGAGGACAAGGAAGAATGCAAGCAGGAAGCCCCAGTGTCTTTTATGACCTAGTTCTGGAAGGGACGTACCATCACTCCTGCTGTGTGCTCTCCATGACATAGATCAACCCTAGTGCAATGTTCACACAAGAGTGTGAACACCAAGAGGTGGGGGCCATCTTGGAGGTTGGCCACCACACTTCTTCTACCCCTCATTTGTGATCCCTGGAGTCACTTCCAATAGACTGCAGTACAAAAGCCTTTATCTCAGGCTCTGCCCTTGAGGGGAAACTGTGCTAAGACAAGGAATAATTTTTTCCATGTAGTTTTTTCAGTGAGGTGTATCTGTATGTGCAGGTGTTGATACAGAAAGATTTCCAAACTAGGTTATTAAGTGCAAAAAGAAAAATGCAGAACTGTTCAGATATATACATGCAACTGAAAGAAAATGAAAGAAATTTAATAATAGCTAATAGTGATTACTTTGGGGGAGAAGATGAGGAAAGAAGACGTTAACTTTCATTTTATTATTCTCAGCATTGTTTGAATATTTGAAACACATTTATATATTCCTTTAAAAAATAACTTGATTGTTTTGGGTGATGAGATTGTGGGTAGTTTTAAGTTTCTCTACAATTTTATGTATTAAAAGTATAATAGTGCTTTTAAAAACAATAATTGTAACAGAGAAACACTCTTCTCTCAGGAACTGTAGAAAATGCTCAAGAGAAAGCTCAATTTAAACAATACAAAGGGCCCTGTGTTCAGTCTCTACAGGCAGTGAGCCGTGGTGTTAACCCAATTATTTCACACAAGAAGAGAAGTAGAGAGGCATTCCATTTCGATGAGGAATCCATGCCCAAAGACACAGCACATTTCTTGTCATTGTGCTGGTTGTCCATTCTCTTAACACTATAATAAAATACATGGAAGAATCATGTGGAACCATGCCGCAGAATTTTTCTCTTGTCCTCTGTCACTTTTCGTATGTTTCAATTTAAGGTAAAGTCCTTTAACAATATGGCACCAAGATAACGCAAATTCCTACATGAAGCAATTGACAGTTGGTTCCTACTATTTTCTCAAAGAACAGGTAAAAGTTTCCTTGGAAATGACAGGCAGCATTGTCTTGTAAAGCGGGTGATAAAGTGAAGACTGACTTCCTGCATCCTCAGTATCTTCCTAGAGGAATTTCCCCCGAGTTAGATCCAGTGAAACAGGAGTCAAATAACCAGAAGATTCCTAGAATCATTGGGCCTCTCCTGGAAATCCCACCACTGTGGAGTTAAGCTGTTGTGGATAGCTGCCACGGGTAGCATCAAACTGCGGTTGGGACCAGGATGGATCTGGATTATGTCTCCAGATCTCTCTTGCCAACTAGATGCATAGGTCCAACAGGCAATTCACAAATCTTGCATACTGTGATCCCGCATTTTAATCTTGACTTTTTAAAAGCTTCACCTGTCCACTTATGGCAAGATTTTATTATCGTAAGTAAAAGACATCTCTTACAGCTCAGATGATCTCATAATAATGGTAACTTTTGTTTAAACCAGTTAAGAATTTATATTAATTTATTAAAGAATTTGAGTAGTCTACTTCATTTAAGTATAGTTGTAAAGAATGTAAGAGACAGACCAAAAAGCCTACAATACTTTCCCACATCATTTCTTTTTCTAAATAAGAATAAAGCAGGGGCTGGCCCCCTCACCTAGTGGTTAAGTTTAGCATACTCCACTTCAGCGGCTTGCGTTAGTGGGTTTGGATCCCAGGTGTGGACCTACACCACTTATCAGCCATGCTGTGGTGGTGACCCACATGTAAAATAAAGGAAGACTGGCAACAGATGTTAGCTCAGGGTTAATCTTCCTCAACAAAAAAGAAGAAGAAGAAGAAAGCAAATTTTAGAAAATAAATATCTTTCCTGATTACAGGAACATTTCTCAATACACAAGTTAATTTGCTACAATTTTAATTGCAAATCCAAGTGTGCTTGCCAAGTTTTCCATGTTGCAGTGAGGAACAGGGACATCTGTGGTTCAAGCACTGTGTCCTTTGGGTGCTCTGGACCACAATCACAGTACTGTTTCCATTCTGACACATAGGACACTAGCAAGACTCCTTATTATAGCCAGTGTTAGAGCCTGCTAATATCTGGAGTGCTAATTTCAGTCAGTAGATTGGTTGATATCTGTTATATGCCATCACTTTCCAATCCTCCAGTACAAATCTCATTAATGTTATAAGGTTCAAAATATGATGTAAGTACAAAAAAAGTTGATTTTTTTTTTCCATAAACTACCTAACTTCCCCTACAAGTTTTGTCCCCTTAAAAAGAATCATGAGTGCTGGCCCGGTGACGCAGCGGTTGAGTTCGCATGTTCCGCTTCCTTGCGGCCCAGGGTTCACCAGTTAGGGTCCCAGGTGCAGACATGGCACCGTTTGGCAAAAGCCATGCTGTGGTAGACATCTCATGTATAAAGTAGAGGAAGATGGGCATGGATGTTAGCTCAGGGCCAGTCTTCCTCAGCAAAAAGAGGACGATTGGCAGCAGATGTTAGCTCAGGGCTAATCTTCCTCAAAAAAAAAAAAAATGGGTTGGGGGGAATGGGAGTGAAGGGGAAAGGAATTGGGTGAAGGTGGATAAGGTATAAACTTCCAGTTATAAGGTAAATACTTTCAGGAGATATAATGTTCAGCATGATGACTATGGTTAATAATAGTGTATCGTATATTTGAAAGTTGTTGTGAGAGTTGATCTTAAAATTCTCATCACAAGAAAAAAAATGTAACTATGTGAAGTGGTGGATGTTACCTAAACTTACGGTGGTAATCGGTTCACAAATCAAATCATTGTGTTGTGTGCCTTAAACTTATACAATGCGATATGTCAATTATATCTCAAAAAAACTGAGGGACAAAATCATGAGTCCACCACCATATTCCTCTGAACAGCCCTTTGAAAGAAGCTCTGTCTACTCAGACTAATACATATTGCTTGGATTTTCATCTTTGCTTGCTTATGGCAACTTTGCCCATACAGTGTGTGGGTTTAAGAAAGCACAGAACACCGTGGATAGCATGAATAAGGCTAAGTGTCACTAAAAATATCTTTGCTAGCAACAGAAAGATCAGTAACTATAAATTCAAATTCTATGCAAACTCAATTCCTTTTACTCATTTACTCTTAACTCCTTTTAATCAAATTGGACTGAGAGATAAATATTAAGTAAATATGCAAATTTACATAACAAGTTTTCTCAGTTTTGTCTTCTGTAGTGAAAAGCCGTGAACCACAGAGAGGGCATCTTCCTCTTTTTCTGTCCCCTCTCTCCAGTTTGGGTGGGAGGGACACTGCATTTTTCATGACAACCATGCATATTCCACTCTTGACCCAATTGATTATTTTCGTTATCACCAAAAAATATAACCATAAAACCCCTCTACACCACTTCAAGTTTTTTGTTCTGCAAATAAAAGTGGAAGGAAATTGTTTGAGTTCCCTATTTGCTCATGACTTAGATTTGGTCTTTGGAAAACCTTCCCAAAGATTCTTGTATCTTCAAGGATGTGGCAGCCCATAAACTGTAGATATCAGCCTTCACTGAAAGTTCTTTCTTAGACACACAGAGTAGTTAGAGTACTTACACCTGGTTTTGTCCAGGGAAATAGTAATAAAAAAAAAAAAGTCCTGGAAATTCACTTGAAGATATCAATACAAATGTAAATAACAAGGAAAAAAATATCTTCTTAGCCACATTCCAAAAGTTTCCCCTTGGGGGAGGTTCCGTTTTGGAGTTAATGCTTTGACAAGCCTGTTTGGAGCTTCCAGGGCTGTAGGTTGGCTAACACTGGAGACGGTTGGAGAGGGTTGAGAGAGAGCGCTACCATTGTGCTTCGAAGAATGTGGGGAGAGATCTGAGACTTCACGAGGGAAGGGTGGCTAGAGGGAGCCCCAGAAGCCGGCAATCAAGAAGAGAGACCGAGAAAAATTTAATGTGGCTCTGGAGTGAAATACTGTGTGTAGTGTGATGCAAGTTCTTTCAAAGACTCCTCTACAAGATCAGTAGTAAATTTACATTGCCCACTCAAGCTTTGTAGGGAAGAATTCCTTTTGGGGGAAACTGAAGAAGCACAGAATCCAGCTTCAAAGCTGGTATGAGGCAAGAGCAGCTGTCCACAGAACAGACTACCTATGAGATGACAAAGGATTTCAGCGACAGGATTTTTGATGAGGATCAAGGCTGCCCTAGGGAGAGAAGCCCAAGGCGTCCTGCCCTACATACCGATCTATATCATCCTCTGGGAAGCATAGGACTTCCTGACCTGATCCAACCTGATTTCTAGCCAAAGTTATAGGACCACCCAATAAACAGACCCCACCTGCACTGATACCATTTTAACAATTTTTTTCATGATCCTTTTTTGTCTTGTAAAGAAATAACTCATATATCTATGCCTTATAAATTTAGCCCTGTCCTCAACCCATTGCAGCTCTTCACTGCCCATGGGTCCTGTCCCCATGCCTGCAGCTCTTTACTGCCCATGGTTCCTGTCCCCATGCTACTCCGTCCTATTCTCTGAATAAAAGAGCACTACTGCCAGACCTTGAGAGTCCAAGAAATCCTTCTTTAGACTCCTCCGCTTGCCGAGCCCGCATCATTTCCAAGCTAAAGAATCACTTCCTTATCTAAGTGAGACCCTGCAT